GGAATGCCACCACTGCATTCCACAAATGGAGCTGCTGAAAGGCAGCAGAGTTGCCTCTGGCATGCCAGGCCAGTGCCAACTGACAGCTGCACTCCAAGGAACACCCAGGAACTACTGGCCCTTCAGGTTAGAATAATTATTTTTATTTTTAATAATAATTACTTTTTTAATCTTGTGTCAGAAGATTAATAAGTCACATTTTCAGGATTCCAAAAACAGTGGCAGACATACTGAAGCGTATGAATACATTTTTCTTAATACAATATTAATGTCTCCTTTTTAAACGCAAGTTGGAAACTAGTTAATCCTTTCCTTGCATCAGAACAAACATGGGGCTATATTTGTGTTCTTTCTGGGAGGCAGACCGTCTGTGAGAAACAGGAACAAAATGCCTGCTGAAAAAACCTGCTGTGTCACATTGATTTTGGTTGAAAAACGCTGTTAGGAGCTTTCGGTGTAAGGAACATCCTCAGAAGAAGATAAACAGTGCAGGAGTTGATGCAGAGTTCTAGACCATGAAATATCACACTGGTTTTCCATGACTAAACCACTTAGCCTTGACATTTCTAACACAAACAAAAAATATTTCAAGATACTAATACAAAAGAGCATTGCAGGAAAAGGTGATAAATAAGTTGCTGTATCAAATGTCACTGATTCCTGAAAAAGGCAATAATTAAAATGTTTATGGTTTCTTTTTAATTGGGCAGTTTCAGTGATGGTGGTAATGGAGGTTTTGCTTTTATTATGTCTAGGAGCCAACAGGATTTGGGCATTAGGTAGCATTCATTCCCTTAGGAAAAGCAGTATTGAGCAAGAACAAGTGATATGTTACTACTGTCTTTTCTGTAAAAATTTCAGCATTTCAACTACTGAAGAAAAGTACTTTAAATACCACAAAGTTTAAAAACAAAAGATGGAAATACATAAAGGTGACTGGTGGTTTCATATGCTTCTTCTGTATACATAAACACATAGTTAATTGAAACAGAATAAACATACAGATTAAGTCCCATTTCTAATTACTCATTAACTCTTAACTACACTTGGAAAAAAAGCACTTCTAAAATTCATCTTAGGCAGATACTACACATAGCAGAGTGAACCCCAATGTGTGTGCATGCAGGGCCAAATCTACCCTCCCTCCTTTTCCTGTTAGTCACAGATGTGGTGACATGAAAAAGGACAAACATCTTTTTCTTGCATGCTGCCCAGTGCCACTGCTTCTCTCCACTCCACCTCCCCATCCCTGCTACCTGCCAGAGGGAAGAGAAACTGGGAGTGTTCCTTGTGCAAACACTCCAGTAAAGACAGAAGGAGAACGGGTGTTAAATCTTCTCATGTCTGTTCAGTAAATCTGTGCCTCAGTGTGCAATAGCCTAGGTTCTGAGACTGGTTCCTTTTGGGTTTGTGTTGTTGTTTTTGTTTCATGGTGGCTGTTTCATTTGGTTTTAGGTTTATTTTTTAAAGGAGACAAAACAAGAATTTAATTTACAGTGCTCAAAAACCCCATGACTGGCTTAGAAGTGAGATAATATTTAAAACATTCAAAAATTTTACAGAATTAATCTGAAATTTTATAGGTGCTCCATTATTTTCATTTTTCCTTATGAATCTGAGGGTTAGAAATTTACCTAATCCTGTCCTTCCCTAAGAATGTAACATAATCTCTTTGGACTAGCAATTGAAGTTTTAAATGAAATTCTAAATAAGTTGAGACATAGCATAAAATACTTGAATATCGTTAGCACTGCTGTATTTCTGTTCTTGTTCTCTGGTTCAACTAATTGTCAACACACTCCTAGGCCAGGACACCAAACTTCACAAATTTAGTCTACAGGAAACAGAAGTACAAGAACAATATTAGTAGCTAAATTAAAATTATTCCAAAAGTATCAATTGCTAAGAATAATGTACTCTTCTTTGGTCTGAATTAATCTGTCTGTAGACATTGTAAAGTTACTTCCTTAGGCTTCGGGTGACTACAATCCTTGTTTGAGTACAGTCCTTCGATATTTTATGAGTATGGGAACCTATAACCTGCCTAGAGGAAAAAACCAAAACTGTGCCAGGCTGCACTTCATTGAAACCTGCAATGTACAAACTGAAAACAGAAATACAAACACAGCACATTGCAACAAAGCCTACAGGGTTAAAAAAAAAAAAAAAGAAAAGAAAGAAAGGGAAAAAAGAGCAATTCAGAAGCATGTGAAATACTCTAGCTCCTGAAATTATTCAAAACTTCTTCAACTATTTCATCATTAGTAAATATATCATTGTCTTGATATAAATTCAGTTTACCTGCACTTATACATACCACTGCATTTATAACACAAAAAGTAACAGAACTATTGAAAACCTTAATTTAACCCTCTCAGAAAAAAAAAAAAAATAAAAAAAATTAGCTCTTACTTGTATTTTCCAAAACAGTTGATCCTGTAAATATTTATAGAGCTTGCTATGACGAAGAACATTAGAATAGCAATTACATAATTTATACTTTTTCCTAAAAATTATAAATTTGGCTAAAAGCTCAAAAATGTGAAAACAGGAATCATTTAGCCACTAACAGTAATGTAAAACTGTACTTCCAAAATTTGTTGGTGAACCCTCTGTATCTTACAAGCCTCCCGCAACAATATTCACATACTCTGTTAAATATGGGAGGTCCAAAAAAAACCCCTAAACCAAACCAAAACCCCAAATTCAAACTGTAAACCAGCTACATATGATCCAAGTTAATTTATGTCAATTTCTAATTACTCTTAAAAAATTACAATTAGCGTGCAACTAAGACAGAATATGAAATTATGACATCCTTGTTGTTGGGTGCAGGAGGATTAACATCTCCTGGAGAACAGGCTCAGCTTTCCAGAGCCACAAACCTGTTCAGAGGCACCACTCATTTTACTTTTGCTAGACTCTTCATACACAGGTGTTTAATCTGGGTTTAGCAAGTGTACAGTTGGAAATAATAGCACTTGCAGATTCTGTTAGATATTCTATAATCATGATCAGGAAACCAGAAATCAAAGAACAAATATAATAACTAGAAACATCCAATCGAAATTTAACAGATAAGCACTTAATTAAATGGAGGATTAGCTGTGACTTTACTTGTTACAAAAAGATGAAGTATGAGTAAACAATGAAATCATGGTGCTGCAATTTGGATTTCATTTCAAGTTACTGTCCCAGCTTTCCTTCCCTGCTTACCAATGCCTATATTCTTAGTCATAATAAAAAAAAAACATAATTGTGATTTTTCACTTACTTATTGTTAAACAACAAAAAGTAAGTAATGAAAGAATATAAAGCTTTTAATTTGTAGATATCTGACCTCACTACCAGCTGGCTGCTGTTGCAAAAGCTTGTTTGCCCATATTGATCATTTGATAAAGATACCTTTTTTTTTTTTTTGTGAAAAAAAGACAGCTTAAGAAAAAAACACACTTCTCTACAATGAGAACTTGTGAATAATGACATTTTATAGTTAAACATCAATTTAAAAAAAATGCAAAGAGAGAACTCCTTACCGCCTGCAGTCTACCCAATAGTGTTTGGCTAAGAGGATTTCCTACTGGGCTGAAACACCCTGTGAAAAGAAAAGGCTGTGAATTTTCTGCTTGTTATCCTTTTCCATCGAATAAACCATTTAATTTTAAAATCATTATGTTAGCAGGACGTTTGACAAAATTCTAATGAAAAGCAGCAGCATCTTTCAGTCACAACTATGCATCCTTCAGTCAGGAACAGTTGGAGGGTTTATTTAACTAACAGACCTGACACAAGGTTAACTAATCCAATATTTCCATTCAAATGATTTGGAGAAATAACTCAAGCTATGTCCACATGCCACCTCGTGCTCAAAGCTGACACTATTATATAGGCTGTATTGGTTTTCTCTTCATTGAATATCTGAGTAACGCACACAAAAAGTTTTCCAACAGAAATGATCACAAAAACTCTCAAAGGAATTACTTCCTTATTTTATCTGAAAGAATAACTATGCTTATTCAGTAGTTGCCTTTGATCATCTGAGTTCCTATCACAACACATCTTGCTGTTTATTTTATTCAGTCTCTACATAGTTCATTTGAACAAGTACTTGTAAATTCTTTTCTTTTCAAACTATTATGTTAACTACTAAGCTCAGGAAAATCCTTTCATCATCTATGCATTTATCTTTTTGTTATTGGTCTCCTCAGCTGTATACTTAAGAAAACATCTTAAAAAGAAAAGATACGGAAATCTGAAAATTGTTGAACACAATAGTGAGAAATGTTACTGCTCCGTTAGAGAACTGCTTCTCCAGCATAGAGATGCAAGGCAACACAGAGTTAAGCTCACAGGATTTTCTCTGTGAGACACTAGATTTGAAAAAAAAAGTTTTGTTTTCAAAGAAGAATAAATTCTGAAAACTCTTTTTCATTTGTCACTCCAAAAGCCTGCTCTTGCCGAGTCCACGATCTGAATAAAGAGGACTTTCAAGATTCCCAAGCACTGCCACAGCTCCACAAGGAAGCCTGCACAACTCCACCTACAGTTTTCTTTCTAAAGTTTAGTGGTTTAGAGTTGTACAAGAAATTTATTAATAAATGTTTAATCAGTAGGATATTTAGATATTTCTAAATATAAGAAAAGCTGCAAGCTCAATCATAGTTAACCCTGATCCTGCAGATGTTCTGCATGTAAACTATTTTGTACTTGTGAGAAATCCTAAATAAGTGTAATAATTGATTTTTCAATTTTCTGTATGAATTAATTTTGTCACCTTAATCATATAAAAAAAACTTTTATAAATTCTGAAATACTTTATTTTGAAAGTCTTCCTTTGATTTTTTATTACTTTTTCTCCCATCTCTTCTCAGAAGAAGAAAGAGATGAGAATAGAAACTGTTTTCTGTACTTAACCCATACTCAAAAGAAGGTAGACCTGAATCTTATCTTTTTTTCAAAGAAGCTATTTGCTCAAACATTTGCTCAGCATTAACACCAAATCAGTGGGGATATTACTCTTACTAATATTGTTATCTACATACTCATACAGTCACAAAATGAGCTACTAAGATATGATACTACATGTGGATATATTACTGCATATATGTGTCATATCAACTCTTTGAATAAAAAAAATCACAACAAAACAGGTCAACAAACTCAAGAACACTAAAATCTCGTCATTATTAAAAAAAAAAAAAAGTGTTTAGATAGCCAAGTATTCTACCACAAGATTTTCAATTTCAGCATTGTGTGTTGGCCAGTTCATAAAAACCCATTCTAAGATAAAAACTGTATAAAATAGATGATGAAGACGACTGCTCACTTGAAAAAAATCTTCAAAATTAAATAAAAATACAATTGATCTGAAATTTTATTAGTAATTAACTTTGTTCTCCTAAGGAACAAACATATTACATCCAAGTACTTCTGGAATGCATGTTAAAGGATGTGGGTGCAGACTCTGTTTAGCTGCTTGTCAGGTGAAAACTTCATGGTTAAACTGATAACCCAATTAAGCCTGAATAAAGGGCAATGCAGACCTGTTCTGATGCAAGTACAGGAATGAGACAGATGTGTAACTCAGATCTATGCAGATATGCAGAGAGTGCTGCTTTGATTTCTAGCAGCTAGCACTGGCTTTTAACTTAGGATTTTCTGTGACTAGAGCCTTCTTCCAAAACAAGAAGGAAATTCTTACCAATTTGCTTTAGGTGGAAACACTAAAAAGATCACAGCACACTTGGGTCCAAATATTCTTCAATGCACCACAGAGCCAATGCTACTTGATCACATTGATCATGCCTACTGGTTACCCCAAAATAGTCTTTAGTGCTTTCCCTTAGTTGTTTTCAGCTACCAGGCGTTCCTTTAGCAGCTCCTACATTCTAAACAGTCATACTAAAAAAAACACAAACAAACCCCAAAACAAAAAATCTTCCTCATCCATAAAACAAGGTGCATTAAGCAAACAAGGGTATATTGTCTCATTCTTTCTCAAACAATGCAGCAGATTTTAAAAGCAATTTTACACAGCTATTGGCTCGACATGGTTCCGTGCTTGATGAAGCATGTAAATGACACTGAGCAGGTGTAAAGAATAGCCTCAGCAGTGCTTGGTTTGGTTATCTTTGATCCAAATTGCAAACTTTTCAACTACTACAAGGAGGTATTGAAATTGATGCCAGGATTTTAGAAGGAAATTTCCACTTCATCCAAAACTGAAGTCTACAGGACACTGTGACCTGTTGGGACTCTCACTTAGCCTGAGCTTATATAAAGGTCATTAAATTCCTTGTAAGGTCAAACCTGAAAAAGAACAACACTATGTTAATCTAAACTCTCTCATCTTAAGGATGATTCAGAATAAGTAATGGAAAAGCATTTTTATTGATTCAGGGGTTTTACTTGAACCTTCCAACCATCTCCTTTTTTTAACAGCATTTGCTGTCTTCACTTTCAAAGCCCTGTATGTCTTGAGCAGTCTTCTGCTGTCTGCAGGGTCTTCCCTATCAAAGTATCAACATTCGAACTACTGGCACTCTTCATTGGCTCTTTGGTGGTTGCCTTTACATGTAGTTTTACATGACAAGAACAAATTATTTCTAGAAGAACCTACTGCTAATGTCTAAAAGTGATGGTTGATGTCTCATAATGCTAGATACTATTGTTTTTTTTCTCAAATTATCGGAACTTTCACATTGACACATCTTAAACAGCAGGACAGCTCTTCTTTATGGTTAACATAATCCTCTCAGTCTGATTATTTTATGAGTCCAAGTAGATGCTGATTGAGATAAATGCCTATCAAGGAACCAGTATATTTTGCAACCAGTGTAGCTGTCTGCCTTGAGAGGGAATCTGAAACTGTGTTTGTTTCCTGGACAACTTGAACAGTCAAGGGAAAGACTGTCCTTAGTTCCCGAGTCACTTCTGGCAATATATTCCCTGCTGGTATAACTGCAACTAAAGAGAAAAGATGAAGACAGAAACAAAGTAGTTGTCCTCCTGTCCAAAACCCATGCCTGTACTACCAAGTTCCCACCTTTATTGCCTGCTCTCACTGAAAAACAACCTCTGCTCTAGAAAAGCACGTTAATGTGAGTTGACTGAATTGTAAATAGTTGAGCTGAAATACACAGGACATAGATGAGTTCACTTACAAGCAGATTAGACTTGGGCAGAAATTTATATAACATATATATAATGTGCCAAAATAGCACTTGCAATAATTAAGAATATTTCCTATTAAATTGCACCTTTAACTATTATATTTGTTTTAAACTGAGACAGAAGAAGGAAAGAAGTCCTTCTAGGGAGTCACATTATCCTACAAGAGTGCTTACAATCACCTAACATTAAATGTTTATGTGAATAATTAATCTTTTAATAGAGGCTGAAAGAATATTCATTACAGAATTTATGTTTTAATTAACTTTTTGAAAGAAGCATTTTTTTCCCTTTTGTGAAATGCTCTTGATGAATTAATTCTGTTGTGCATCATAAATCTCCAAGGATTCCAGTATTACAAAATCTACAGTTAAGGAAATGGCCCAAAACTTTATCCTGGAAAATCCTCAGAAAAATCACAGAACACCAATGAACAAATATGTAAGAAAATTGGAAAAAAGCGAATATTTAGATATTTCTGTGATGAGCCCCTCTAAATCATAGAGGAAAAAAATTACCTATACCAGTTCCATATTATTCTATTTTTCTGAGTTTTACTTTTAGTTTGTACTAATTATTAATGCCTAAAAAATCAACAAACAAATCCTGAAATACATGGAAACAAACTATGCCTCTAGGAAATGGTATTTCTTATTGCAGACATTGTTATAATTTATATTGTGGCCTTTTGCAACATGGTATATTTAAAATACACCCAAACAAACAACAATCATGATGAAGAAATGCCAACTCAGATATGAGATGAATACATGTTTAACAGCTCAGTCCTTCTCCTAATCATCTTCTGTGGCTTTACAACTGTTCCCAGTCAACAGAAGTATGTTTTCAGCACAGTCATCTATTCAAAACTATGACCTTTGTGACCAAAATATCTTTCAGTATGCAGAATAATCTACTTTAGGCATAAAAGAAAACTCTATTTAGAGTTTTTTTTTAATGAAAGAGCTGTCAAAACAGCATTACTCAGTTTTTTCTGTAATTCTGTTTTTCAAGCTAGGTATAAGAAAGAAGATAATTTTGTAATGATCTAAATATATATTAATCTTCCCTGAAAGGCTTTATTCTCACAACAATTACGCCTTAATAGATCAAACAGAATTAATTAAATAAAAAAATTGTTTTTATATTGGATAAGAACCTGTTTTTCTTTACTTAGACATGGGATCACAAATACTTTCAAAACCCACTGCAAACAATTTCAGATGCATTCACATAAAATTAAAGGAATGGATGCACCCACTTAACATACATACCTTTTTAGTTTCACCAGCAAAACAGATGTTTTACTAATATCCAAGTAGGTAAACACCAACTTCAAACTCTGCTCTACATTACTTAGTCTAGCACCTATGATTTTGAACATATTCCAAACCAAAAAGGAGAATGGACAGGACCAAAGTGTTT